CCTTCATAGATGTGAAGGGATATAGAATCTCGCTCAGCATTAGGCTTTGGCTTAAAGGGATGTTGTGGTTGCTTTATCTTTTATACAGGCCACTAGAACTTGCTCAGTATCAGCAATAAGTAAGGCTGTTCCACTTTCTTATATCTTTTCTTTGTTCATTTGCGTAGCACTTATAATTTCCTTCAAAATGGTTTTTAAATATTTATTTATTTATTTATTTATTTATTTATTTATTTATTTATTTATTTAGAGGGGAAGGGAGGGAGAGAGGGAGAAAAACATCAATGTGTGGTTGCCTCTCATGTGGCTCCCACTGGGGACCTGGCCTGCAACCCAGGCATGTGCCCTGACTGGGAATCAAACTGGCAACCCTTTGGTTCACAGCCTGTGCTCAATCCACTGAGCTATACATGCCAGGGTCAAAATGTTTTTCTTTGAATTTACAACTTGGCTCTTTGGCATCAGAAGCCTAGCTTTTAGCCCATCTTGGCTTTCATCATGTCTTCTTCACTAAGCTTAATCACTAGCTTCTGATTTAAGGTGAGAAACACAAGACTTTTCCTTTTACTTCAGCAGTTAGAAGCCATTGTAGGGTTATTAAGTCACCTAATTCCAACGTTATTGTGTCTTGGGGAATCTGAAGGCACAAGGAAAGTAGAGTAGTCCAAACACACATTTACTGATTAATTTTGTCATTTTATTTGGGAATGGTCTGTGGCTCCCCAAACAATTACAATGGTAATATCAAAGACTGCTGATTTCAGATCACTAAAACAAATATAATAATGATAATAAGTTTGAAATATTGTGAAAATCACCAAAGTGTGACAGAGAGTTGCAAAGGGAGCAAATGCTGTTTGAAAAGTGGGGACAGATAGACTTGCTTGATTCAGAGTTGCCACAAACCTACAATTTGTACCCAAAATAAAATAAAATTAGCAATATCTGTGAAGCACAATAGAATGGGATATTCCTGTATTTAGAGAAATTTTGAAGGTTTCTATTTATTTTGGTTATAAACCAGCCCCCCTCTGAAAGAAAAATCTCATAAGAAGCCTTTTATTTAGTATGTTTTATGTCAGAAAAATATTATCTTTTATTTATTGTATATGTGGTGATAGTTAGAGTCAAATCATTTATACTTTACACTGTGACTCATAAAACATACTTTGGACCTCTTCACTATTTTTATCTTTGCTACATGGCATCCCCTCTGTTATAATGTGAAAACTCCAAATTGTATTAATGACTTATGACTATATTACATGTAATAGGTATCTTTTAATTAAAAATACTTCGAACAAAAAAATTCCACAGAAAAGTTGAAATTTAATTTACCTGTGATAGTGTGATTTTTCAATAATTCCATTTAGATTAGGAAAAAGTTTTCTTCATATGGCATTTCTTCCTGTTACTAACCCTATTCTCAAGCACCAAGCCAAAAAAAAAGAAAGGAAATCTGGATTATCAAAAGAGCATGGCATTTTAGAACACGTTCTACATCAGTGCAAGCAATGTGACCTTTTAAAGAGGCTTTCATTCACTTTTATTTTTAAATTTTTGCATGTTTTACTTTAGTCATTGTTCTTACATTTTCATAGATTCAAGTTTATACTAGATAAACATCCCTAGGTACGTAAACACCAAGGAAAATATAGATTTTGATATATCCTAAAAGTACCCATCTTGCAAAATTGTCAAGTCCCTATTTCATATGTAAATCATACAGTAAAAAGCCAGAAGAGACAGGGAAGAGAGTATGTGTTTCGTCTTTGTCTGGTCAGACGCATTAGACCCCTAAGTAATACATCTTTCATATCCTTCTTTCCTTGCCTTCTCCCCTCACCCCACCTCTTTCCTTCTGCTCATTTTCTAATGTCATATTGTGTGTATGTGTGTTTAATAGATTGAATGATTTGGAATTTTGTTAACTAAATAACAACAAATCCCCTTTAAACTATGTTGCAACTGACAAAGACCCTTAGGGAAAATGTTCTACAATGATGAAGGTTACTGGAGTATAAGATTTTCATAATACATATGGCAGGATATAAAAACTGGGAACTTGACTGTGCCTCTCATTGCTAAAAAATGAAAAGGTTTTTTTTTTTCAAATTTGTGTGGGTTTTCACATGGTCCCTTTAAAAAAAAATGAGCAGGACTTCTTGAAAGCCCAAGTCCTTTTTATTATTTTTTAAAATAAAAATATAGTGAATTTATAGAATAAGCATATAAACAATGAAATATGAAGGCAAATGTCAGGGCTTCCTCCACGTCACTCAAAATATATAGAATATTTTTAGTGCCACAGAATTTCCATGCTCCTTCCCAATCTCACTTTCCCCTTTTATCAATAATAAACAAAGTAATAATACAAGAATAAACTGTTTCACATACTCACAACTGTAAACCTACTTTTGCCAACCACTGTATAATCATGCACTACATTATTTTGTGTCTGGATTCTTACCTAACGTTATGTTTACAGGCCTTTATTCATGTTGCAGTTTGTCAAATATCATCTGAATATACCACACTTTATATATTCATTCTATTGCTGATGGACTTTAGGTCATAGCCAGTTTAGAGCAATTATAATTAAGGCTGCAATAAACATTCTTGTAGATATTTCTTGGTACACATGTTGTATATAACGAAAAGTGAAATTGTGGGATCATCTGGTACACATATGTTTAATTTCAGGAGATAATGCCAAATTGTTTTCCAAAGTAGTTGTAGCAATTATACTCCCTGCATCACATAAGCATTCCTATTGTATCACATCTTCACCAACACTTGGTAGAGATACTGCTTTGGAAATCTAGGTTAGACCAGTGAAAGAGGAGGTTGGAAATGAAACCTTGATGTGGAAAAGGGAAGAATCCTGATTGTGATCAATTGTGATCAATTTTGAACCTGTATCTCAGAAGAGATGAAAATACAATTCCACTATTTTTAGATAGGATAGGTTCCCATAGGTGTTCATTGAACTTTTTTAGTAAGACAATGTTTTATAATTATTTTATCATTATCCTATAAAAGGTGGTTTTGAAGAAATATCTTCTGAAGCCAGAAATGATCATAGCATTTTATAGTTGGAAGAGATCTTAGACAACATCCAATTAAACCTCATTTCACAGATGAGGAAGTCTAGGCACACAGTTACCCAGTTACTTGATTAGGAAAGGCAGTAGTTAACCACAGATGCAGAAGAATCAAGCCTTTTGACTGGGAAAATAATTATCATACATTCATCTTACTTAAAATTTTTTAAAATTTGTCTTGACTTTCTTTACCTGGCCTATGTCTATATATCTATCAAAACTCACCAGAATCCATCTACACCAAGATGTCCTTTCTAATCTTTTTTTCAAGTCTGTGAGGTGTCTCTAGTATGTCTTAAACAACATTTTAATAATAATTTCTATTTTTCACTTATCTATATATTTATCACTTTGCCCACTATATTCAGAAATCAGAAGGTAAGGAAGAACTGCTTTGTTCTCTGCATTTAGTTTTTAGCATTTTGCATAAACCTTGTACAAAATAGCAGTTGGTGAATATTTGTGGAATGAGTTCAATATCAAAATCTGGCCTATAATCATTTTGGTATGTATTTAGATAGAGCTGAATTATGTAATTGTACCCACTTTGTTAGTGTTTGGGGCTGTTCGTCGATATTTCTGTTCCTGTTCTTTCCAGGCACATGATAGAAATGTACTTTCCTCTTCCTTTAAAATTAGTGTGGCCCTGCTACTTGAGTAGCAGTAACATGAGTCACTTCCCTGTAGAACACTTTAACAGCCAGGGACCGATGTCCTCTTCCCTCCAACCATCCCAGTGATCTTGAAGACTTCCTGAGTGAGGACAACACAAGAAGAATCCATAGCTAACTCATGATGGACCTGCATATGACTGAGAAATAAAACTATGTTTTTTACCTCACTGAGCTTTAGAGTTGTTATTGCAAGAATCTAACCTAGCATTTCCCAACTTATTGCAATGGGGGTGAAACTCTGGGGACTAGATGTGGGGGTTGGGGGACATGAACCATTTGGGTACAAGAGGTGGACTGTGGTATAAAGCTTCTGAAATGGGTCTCATCTAAAACGGGACCCCGACATTTACGGACTTGTGTAATTCCCTCTGCTTGAATGTGAGTTAGACCTAGTGACTTGCTTCTAACAAAAAGAATACCAAAAAAGTGATGGGAGGTTGCTTATGAAATTAGATTTAAAAAAGATTGTGGCTTCCTTTCTGCTCATCCTCTCTCACTAGTTCTTTCTTACAGCACTTGGTCTGGGAAAAGTGAACTGCCATGTGGTAAGCAGACCTATGGAAAGGCCTATGTGGCAAGGGGTTGATGTCTCTGGCTTATATAAGAAAGTACCTGAGGCTTGTCAACAGTCAGTGAATGAGCTTGAAAGTGGACCTTCTGAGCCCTGCCAAAAGCAGTGCTGGTATATTGGAAGTATATCCTCTTCCATTTAGGCTTTGAGATGACCCAGTCCTGCCTGACACCTTGATTTCAGTCTCATGAGACAGTCTGTACAAAAGGCACACAGCTACACTGCCTTGATTCATAACCCATAGGGACTATGAGATAACAACGATTTCTTGTTGCAGGCTGCCATGTTTTGTGATAATTTGTTACAGAGCAATGTATAATGAACATGTTTTATATTTCCCCATATAAGTATAATGTACCGACAGGACAAACACATTTAACATTGTCAACTATGTCTGATGATAACCATAGCTGAAGTTGAAGACAACATACTAATTTTTTTCTTTTTTTGTTGTTTAGTTTTTATTTCATACTCATAAACTTAATTCTGCAATCTAGCTAGACTTGGAAGGGATAAGGAAAACATGGACCCAGTGAACTTGCAGGGAGAACATGAAGATTACAGAACATGCCAAGCAGGTGGGGGTGTGGTGCTCTCCTGAGCTACAGAAGGAATGGTCTGGTGGTCAAGATAAAACACAAGTCAAGTTTATTAGAGTTGTCTACAGTCAGTGATGGTGATCTTCTTGCTGGTCTTGCCATTTTTGGACCTGTACTGTTTCATGGCTGTCCCAGCATCCATGCTGTTTTTCACCTGGCGGAAGACCACATGCTTGCTGTCCAGCCACTCAGTCGTGGCAGTGAAGATGAAAAACAGAACTGTTGTGTTGGGTCCAGCATTTGCCATGGACAAGATGCCAGGACCTGTGTGCTTCATGATGAAATTCTCATCATCAAATTTCTTGCTGTAGACAGACTTGCTGCCTGTGCCATTGTGGTGTGTGAAGTCACCACCCTGGCACATAAATCCCTGAATAGTTCCATGAGAACAGGAACCTTTATAACCACATCCTTTCTCCCCAGTGCTCAGAGTGTGAACGTTTTCTGCTGTCTTTGGAACTTTGTCTGCAAATAGCTGGAAGGAGACACGGCCTAAGGGCTTGCTATCCCCAGTGATGTTGAAGAACACGGTGGGGCTGACTATGGCTGGGAGCCGGGGGATCCAAGGCAGTAGTAGCATCTGCAAGACCTGTTTTTTTTTTTCATTGCAGCATTGCAATATGGTTATATGTTGTTAGTGGATATATGAATCCAAAGCCATACAAGAATCAAATTTATATTTTAGTTTGTTTGAATCAAATTATTATATCAAAGATATATAGATATGGGAAAGGGTTTCTAAGTATAATTAAACATATAATAGTAATCAGCATTTAGCATTCTAGGAAGTTAGGTATTTTTGTATGTTTTTGATTTTTATAGATAATAGAAAACTTGCTTTGTACGTTAAGGAGAAACATGGGTTATATTGGACCATTTATATGTTGCCCTAACATATACTGACTTCTACTTAAATAGCTAACCCACTTCTTGTACTGCTTCTGGAGAAAAGAAAACCTATCAAAATACGATCAAAGAAGTGTAGGGACAGTGTGAGACTAGGGCTTCCAGGCTATTTTGAATCATCTGTATCTAAAAATGAGGGCAAGCAACCTATTCTTTTCCCATAGCCATTCAATATCAGGAATCCAGGACAGTGTGTTCAGTAAATCAGAGAGTTAATGTTAAATTCTATATAGCAAAGATGAAAAAAACTGCAAAAAAAATTAGAAAGTGTTTGAGAGACAGCAAGTATGCAATTCTCACATGAAAAAAAATAAACTCACTCCCTGGCTGGTGTAGCTCAGTGAATTGAGTGTGGGCCTGTGAACCAAAGGATTGTGGTTTGATTCCCAGTCAGGGCATACGCCTGGGTTGCAGGCCAGTTCCCAGCAGGGGACGCATAAGAGGCAACCATACATTGATATTTCTCTCCCTCTTTCCTTCCCTTCCCGTCTAAAGATAAATAAATAAAATCTTTAAAAAAAAGAAAAAAATAAACTCGTGCTAAAAACTTATAGGACAACCTTAGGATAATATAGTAAAATCTGAGCCCCCCCAAAAGGAGCACTGTTTAGGTTTCAGTCTAATAAGAAACTTAAAAGACAGGTGTGAGAGTTACGCACAGGTTTTTCTTGGGTGCGTACAATTGTTCTCACATGTTTGATGTCTATCATGTTAGAATCTCCCCAGGAATTTCTGATGAATACTGCATTTTGTGTGGAAGCAGCAATTCACAATTTCCCGTTACTCTTGTTGGTTACTACAAAAGACTCAGTCTCAGGGGACTTTAATTAAAATGATGAGACAAAGAATAAAACAAATAAGGAGTCTGTTAAATGTCTGCCTGAAACCAGAGCTGCACCACTTAATATAAAAGACTCTTCAAAACCAATAATGAACTAATTATCCTTTTGCAAGACTGATAAGAAAATGAAGACTAGATGTAGATTTGGGGAAACTAATTTACACTGGAGGAGGGAAGGAGGGAAAAAAGAACGACTACGGAAAATCGACTGTTAATAAATATTGGAGACTGCAGGGAAGTCACAAGATAAGCGGTAGCGTGCGTTGCTGCAGCTCCAACAGGGCAATCACTCCTCTGAGAAGAGAGGCTGATAAGCAGCCCCCCACCAGGCAATCACTTTGTGTTTTATATTGTTTGAAAAGAGCTTGATTATTTTCTTTGAATGAAACCAGATTGATTCACATTTACCTGTCAACAGAATATCCCATTTCTCTGTTTTGCCTGTCTATTTAAAGGCGTACGACCTGACTAGAAAATTCCATAGACAATCCTTTCATTAGATGTAAATAAATGATCATGAGCAGCCAGGTCATTTTTTAATGATTTTTTTGGTGTTAAATTAAAATCCACAACCTGATAAATGTGACTGATATTTGCAGTAGCAGATTAATATCATGAATATTGCTTTATTCAAGGTCAGATACAAGCTTTAAAAATCATATCCATAGGGGGGAAAATCCAAATGTGAAAATAATAATTATGTTATTTGAAGTCTCATTTAAAATGAGAACAACATAACATACAATTTCTTCTGGTTTTATAAACTCATATAAATATTTGAATATTGGTCTATCAAGTACCTATAGATGAAAGGCATGTGTAAAGACAAACTAGAAGTGAGCAGCTGGTTGACTGACCTCTATGAATTTGGTTTCCCCGATTGAAGTAGGGAGCTGGATTCCACAGCCACAGTGGAACAGTGACTCTGAAAGCATTTACATAGTATTTTCCAATATCACACACACAGTACATTTTGTTACAGGGGGAGAGAGAACATAGTGCTTCAGTGGGCATCTAAACACGTGGGTTGTAGTGTACAGCATAGTCCACTGGTCTGAAAGGTTGGAGGCCAAGAGTCAAGGCCATGTTTGGCCATTTTCCAGTTGTATAATCTTATATGAGGACTTAACATACCTGAATCTCCCTGTTCTCATATAGAAATGAAGATAATAATCTACTTTTAAGAACACACACATAGAAGTTGTTGTAAAACTCAAATGAAATCCAAAAGCTAAGTAATTGCTATTATTTTATTATATTCTAAGATGTAATACAGTAATCCCATAAATAATACCATGAAATTTCTTTCTGCTTTATGGGATACAGAATAAAATTTTATTAAACGGCCATGACCCTGACCAAGTATAAACTTTTGATTCCATCCATCAGTTTCATCCATCACCCATTTCATTGATCATTCAATATTTACTAAGCATCATTGTAGGTAAGTCATTAATCTGGTTGATCTGAAAACATCAGAAATAAAAAAGGCAGAATCTCTGTCCTCATGCATCTTATAGTTTGATGGTGGAGTTTGTCTCTTAATACACTGATATTATTATGTTCATACTCATTTTTTATATGGCACACTGACTCTTAAATCAGATAGGCCTAGGATTCTAATCTCAATATTTTACATGTTAAGCCATTTTAAGAAAGTGACTTTTATTTCTCTAAGCCTTATTTTCCTTATTAGTAACATGTATACTAAAATAGGACTTCATAGTATTGTTAGGAATATTAAATCATGCACAGAAAGCATTTATTTAGCATAGTGTCTGGTATTTAACATGTTAAATAAATATTGTCTGGCCTGTAATAGTGTTAAATAAATAAATATTAGCTATTTTCCTTTGCATTTTCTTTTACCCTATTTTAATGTGCCTCCTCCTAGGAAAGAAAAAAGAGACACCTGGTGTCTAGGAGCTGGCCTGCTGCTATCATCCAGATCTTGGTGTTTCCACCAGTGTCTTGATTCTCACAGCTAAATCTTGGTCAACAGGTATAATTTTATAGGACAGCAACATCATACAAGGTTACTCTGACCAAGACAGAGCTAGTCAATGCAAGACCACTCTATAATCATGTGTAAAAAATAGATAAAAACATGAACATCATCAAAATTGAAAAAATGAACATATGAAAAGATGTTCAGCAGCACTAGCCATCAGAGAGATGCAAATTAAAACAACAATGAAATAGTACTTCACACCAGTGAGAATGGCTATTATAGACATGTTAACAAACAACAAATATTGGAGAGGTTGTGGAGAAAAGGGAAACCTAGTGCACTGTTGCTGGGAATGCATACTGGTCAAGCCATTGTGGAAAACAGTATGGGGTTTCCTCAGAAAACTACAACTGGAATTGCCTTTTGACCCAGCAATACCCTCAGGATCCTGAAATACCAATTAAAAAGAACCTATGCACCCCAATTTTCATAGCAGCACAATTTACAATAGGAAAGTGCTGGGGGTAACCCAGGTGCCTATCAGTAAATGTATGAATCAAACACTATGGTACTTTTACACAATGGAATACTATGCTATAGAGAAGAAGGATGAGCCCCTACCCTTCGCAACACCATGGATGGATCTGGAAAGCATCATGCTAAGTGCAATAAGCCCAGTGGTGAAAAAGAAATACCATATGATTTCACCCATAAGTGGAACCTAATCAGCAAAACAAACAAGCAAGCAAAATATAACCAGAGACATGGAAATAAAGAACAATCTAACAGTTATCAGAGAGGAGGAGGGAGAGGAATAATAAGGAATAATGGGTGGGGCATCAAGAAACATGTATGAAGGACACATGGACAAAAACAAAGGGGGTGTGTTTGAGGGTGGGAGGCAGGGATGTGTGTGGGGAGGCATGGTGGGGTGGAAATGGAGATAATTGTACTTGAACAACAATAAAAGAAAAATTATGTTTAAAAAATTGAAAAATGACCAAACATTCACCATGTTGGATAATATAAGTGACTGGACTATTGATTCTTTACTAGTGACAGCTTTAGCCTCCCTTGGTCTTACCTCATTCTAGGTAAAAATAAGATAACCATTTGTAGAATTACCCCTACTTTCTGGCAGCGTCTTATCCAGGTAAAAGCCCCATATCCTTATACTCTTTCCCAAGGCATTTAACACAAACCTAAATTCTGCATAAATCCTAACACCTCCTTACTGAAATCCCCCGTAATTCTCCATGCTATATGTGCTCTCATGCTGGGAGAAGGAATAGACCCTACTTTTCAACTACAGGTGTTTTCCTGGGGGGTCTTTGGGTGGGTATGATGATACCCTAACCACATGATCCCTTTTGTCTCTACATGTTATTATATTTTTCTCTGTTTAATTAATTTTATATTCTCCTTTGACTTCCATTTCCTGTCATTACTCCTTTCATGGTTATTGCATGAATGAATGTTCTCTTTCTACATGTCTACTTGTTTTCTCCCTCCCTCCATCCCTCCCTCCCTCCCCTCCTTTCTTCCTTCTTTTTTTTTTTTTTTAAATACAACTGCAGCCCAGACAAGCTTCAGAAAAAAAAAGAATCTATTAGACATGGATCAGGGAACTGCATAGCATCATGATCTTTTAAACTTGAGCAACAAGCAATGTAGAAAAAGAATAATTTCAACTTTGTGCTGCACTGAGTGAGAATACAGGAAGACCATAAGGAATTTCTGACTTCCTACAAGGGAGTAAAAGTATGCATTTATATGTGTTTATATTTTAGTTAGGAATCTTATTTTTCTTGCATCTGGTTGAGCTTCCTTATTATTTTAATTTCACTTAGATATGTGGCTTTGTATTTCTTCATTCTTTCAT